GAAAAAATGCCAAACTTTGCTCAGTAAGATGAAAGGAAATGCCAAACTTTACTCAGTAAAATGAAAGGAAATGCCAAACTTTACTCAGTGAGATGAAAGGAAATGCCAAACTTTACTCAGTAAGATGAAAGGAAATGCCAAACTTTGCTCAATAAGATGAAAGGAAATGCCAAACTTTACTCAGTGAGATGAAAGGAAATGCCAAACTTTGCTCAGTAAGATGAAAGGAAATGCCAAACTCTGCTCATTGAACAAAGTTTTCTTGTAAGGTTTCGTCCCTATCTTAATTGCCCTCCCTACTTCACAAGACACATAGAACTGCTAAACAGCAGCAGAAGCTCTGCAGGTGTATAGCTTGATCTGAGTGGGCAAGCTTTGATTCATTTTATAAACAACTTTGATTGGGTCAGCATACCTCGTCATCGCTGTAGAGTCCAGCATACCAGTCACATTGTTGTTGAGCCAGGGATCCTTCCAATGGTCCATATATCAAGATAAAGTCTTCACCTCCGCAGGTGAAATTGGGGTCACCTGGGAGATAGAGCAGCTAAACACTGTTGTGCTGTTAACAACTACACATACACGTACATGCAAAACAACAAAGCTGTCATACATGTAGCTCGCTACAACCTACACAGGTGTGTGCATATCAAATTATTCAAAATGTTGAACTAGTACTATTTTCTATTTGTCTTATATTAATATTTTAAATGCATTTTAAGCTAATAAACCTACATGGAGTTCTGATACTGATAAAAACCCCAAATGCCACATATGTAAAGTGCTATCACCCATATTATTCACTAGTAAAATATTATCCAATATGTGAAGTGCCAACAGCCATCCTGACAGGCACATAGACTGACAGATTGACAGACAAATTGACAGCCCGATTGACAGACAGACTGACAGACAGATGGAAATCAAAACTACATAGGCCAAAATTGGGTTGACAGCTTGCCAAAATGTGACTTTTTATACATGTCCATTAACCATGTTAACCGTCAGTAAACAGTTTGTAAACACTTTTGTGTCAACTTATAGGTTTCCAACAAAGCTACTGTTGGTCTCTTCTTTAATTAAACAGTAGCAAATGCAAAAGATTTCACTGATTGTGATAATGGCCATTTTGAAGCCATGATGCCTGATTGAGGCACAACAGGGACTTAGAATATTTACTTGTTTCTGCACAGACTGAGTAGAAGTTTGAAGACCATAGGAGCTCGTCTGAAGATAGTGGCCTCTAACAATGATAGTTCATGATATGGGCTACATGTACATTGACATGACCCCAGAATAAAACTAAGACAACCCCACCCAAGATGCCATCAAAGCAGAATCGTCACACCAAGCAATTCACTGTGAGGTACTCTGACAGAATTCTAATTTCAAAGTGTTTTGAGACTAATACCTGAACATGTAACATTACAGAAGTCCAACGTGACTGGCTCCATGTCAACAATTTCTCTGGTGACATTCTGCCATTTGGTGATGTCCTGGCTGCAATTGGCAAGATAAATCTAAGAAAAAAATATACATATATATTTCAACCATGTTGATTGCAATTTTTGAATGTGATCCCTATAATATCAAGATGATTTTTTTTTCAGAGTCAGAGTCCCAAATGAGCTTTTACAGATTACAAATGAGATTTTAATTTTCAAGGAATGACCCCTTAAGGTTTTGCATGTAATATCTGAATACATTCCCATCATCTGATTGTGGCTCATAATGTTTATGTTCAAATGCACAGCACAAATGTCTGCTTTGCCCAAAGCACTGGAATACTCCCAACTTCAGCCACAGCAAGTTTTTACTTAAATATGCACAATACAATGTACACAAATCACAGATTTATTTTGGAGATCAAGCATGTGATTGCTGGCAAACAACAGAAGTTATACAACTCCTTAACTAAAGCTTTCCAAAATAAAATGAACGTATTGAAAAAGCTGAAGTTCACAGGAAACCGACCTCCATGTTACTGCGGAGCTACAATGTACATTTATCGGTACTTTATTATTAGAGTTGTTTGGAGTCATCGCAAATTTTTGTCACTTGTATTTGACGGATACAAGTTGGATTCAACATTCAGTTAACTTCTTTTGATACTTTCATTTTAATAATTTATGTGGGAGGGCTGTGAAGTTGAATTTAGCACAAAGGTACACAATTTCAGTATCAGATGCAAAGTGTAATTATGTAGGTGTACATGTACATTACTTCTGAATTTAATTTGTCCCAAATAATGATGGGTTGACATTTGGAATTATTGACATTTCCTGACAAATACAAAACTCCATTTGTACAGTATGTTACTCCTTTTAGAATAAATTTTGTAATAACAAAGTGAATAGTAACAGTGAATTAATACTAATTACCGTTACTATTTAGTAACAATAAATTAGTAACAGCACAACACTATTGCTAGACAAGTATAAGACAAGTATAAAAATGGAAGAGCATTGTTCAAAGTTGAAGTGGAAATTTGAGCTTTACTAAGTATATGTACATCCACAAAAATGGAATGACAATGTTACTTCTCACAAATCAAGTATAAAGGGCAGGACATTCTTTGGTATTACACTGAAATTATGTTGAACGGATGATTGGACTGCTTAAATAAAGTGACCAATAAATGCAGGTACGTCCAACTTAATAAATACTGACGAGGGGGATTTTGGAGGGGCTCATGCCTTCAACAAATTTGTTAATGTTCTTCTTCCACTGCCATATAAACCATATGTGTATGTTCTCATCCAACAGTCAGAACAAAAAAACCCTATACCTGCTGGTAGACTTTCAGTTGGTGACGCTGGAGCTCTGTTTCAAACATACGGAACACCTACCGGTAACTTGACACCACCTTTGCTTCATCATGTACATGTATAAGGGTGATCAAAACATACAGACAATTGGCTTTTCTTGGCATGTCTATTGAGGTTCCTACATGCATCCCACTTCTCCATATTTTTCCTGTTGCTGACACTCTGTAAACTGACAATGGTCTGAACACTAGATGGAAGTTCTGATCCATGTTGCTCTTATGTAGGCACTGATCAGGGCTTGGAGCTAAGGGCCATTGGCCTTTCTTTCCTCAGCCTGCTTTTCAGCTATTATTCTCGGCCCATGCTCGAGCGAACACAGTGAAAGAAAGCAAACCCTGGCTCTTGTTTATATGGTAATTGGTCTTTGTGCACAGCCCAGAAATGAAAAGACCGAATTTGCATCATAATCACCAGCTATACAATAGTCCCCACTTTGAAAAGAGGCAACGGGAATGTGGAAGCTTGAGTAGAGCCGCATGCCACCGAACAATCAACCGTTTCACTGTGTAATTCAAAGCATGCAGAGCACGCAGGGCTACAAACCGAGAATCTGCAGTTTACGGCAAACAAAGCAAGGCCAGGCATTTCCAGACATGTCAAATTAGACACTTCAAATCATAGGAACACTCACTGACAATAATTTACTGGTAATTTAGCAACACTGGAATTCTTCTTCAGGACAAACAGTTGATCACTGAATGCTAAACTTGGTAACGACATGGTTTTCAGCCAGCATCAACTGACACCTTTGCATATTCTAACATTACCTGTGACAATGGATTTATTTTGCAGAGAGAAGTCCAACAGGCTTTTACATCCGTTGCATGGTTAGAGTTGCATGCTACCCGATCTGAATGCCGGTAGATTGTCAGCTAACAATCCATTAATTACAGGCACATACTGAGAAAATAGGTTTTGTGGAAAGAAAATGTTCAAACTTCCCTTGTTTGTTGAAAGAAAGTATGCACATTCCCTACATGTACAGGTGGTGGCCCATCATTCCCACCTTAATGCACACAGAAGCATAAAAAAATTTTGTATCAACAGGAACATATACTACCGAACACATACATGTACCGGTACGTGCACATGTACAGTGCATGTACAGTACTTGGTTGTATAGAGTGCTTTGCAACAGAGGTCCTTATGGGATAAATGGAATATTACTCTGTGCACGACCAGGCTTGCTCCTCTGAAGACCTTACTAGGGTGATAGGATGAGATGGAAATTGCTCAGAATGAACTGTAGGTCTGCAAAGTCCACATACATGTACAGTACACCTGTCAGTTTTAACCTGCTGCAACTTATTCTTGACAATTTTCAAACATTCATTATTTATAATTATTCTTCTCAAAATATTGAGGGTTTGACGTTTTGATCCCAGCAGACTCTTTCTCAAAGGCAAAACGACAAGTGGACAGGACAAACAAGTAAACAGATAATCAACCAACGTTTTGGTCATTTTAGGTCATTGTAGTCAGCAAGCAGTTTGCAGCAGATTTCTATTACATACATGTATCTTTATAATTATTCTTCACAGAATAATCTGCCAGAAAAATTTTCTCAGTGAATAAAGCAAAAATATTCAAATCTCACATTTCTGCATTTACCGTACTTGTGACTAATTTTGACAGAGAAGGTTACGACAAATGACTCAGCAAAACATTCAGGGCAAGCAATGACCACTCACCACATCAAAGCTTTCTGCTTCTAACTGGCTGCAATTGCTATATCGGCTCTTGGTGAGGACCTCATGAAGCTCATAATGACAATTCTTGTTGAAGCACCCATCAAAGCAGTCATCAACTGCAATTCCAATGCACCCTTCAAGTGAACCCCCCTCAGCAGACGCCTGGCACCCTACCAGCCCCTCGTTCAAACAGAAGGTACAGTTGGCTAGCTGCTCCATGGTACAATTTGCTGTCGTCACATTGTACAGGGTAATAATTGGATAGTCACAGTGTCTTGCAGATTCGTTCCAGAAGGGTCCTGTAATATTCAGGCACACGTGACTGCCATTAGAAGCACATGCTAGTCTGGGCCCTTCCATGCATTTCTGGTAGTCAGCTTCCAAACAAGCACTGTAGGACAAGTTGTAGTGCTGCTCGAGGTAATGATATTTGGTGCATTCATATGAAACTAACTCCCAGCAGGATTCACTGTACGGTATAGTGCATATGCTGACGTAAGCATCCACACAGCATGCCTGGCCGTCATTTGTTGACCTGAAGTCTGTGGCCAGGTAGTAGCTTTCACGTGCCTGCTCCAAGCAAGGTTCTTCATCCAGATGTCTGCAGTGCCTTGTAGTGAGTTCACCACACAAAAGCATCCCCTGATTGGTACAATTTTCAACCAGAGGAGCGTGGCATTCCGTGTTCGCTGACCCGTTGCATGCAAGCTGCGCTCTGTTTTGGCAATCCACAACCAAACTGTCCAAACAGTCCCTCATCGTTCCATTTTCACAGCTTCTGTTCAGGTCCTGCACACAAGTTTCATACACTTCTTGATCCAAGCAGGTGGAAGTCACTGTGTAGTTATCCCATTCCTTCTTAGTCTTATTACACTCAAAGTAGATGGTTTCAATGTAAGGTTCCAGGAGGGTACGGTTCACTGGTGTGTAGAGCGAATGAGCGATGTCTGCATACTGACGGTAAGCCGTGTGGTTACCACAGTAACAATCTGTGCCATTCCTTGTGGCTGAAATGAGAAAATCTGCATCCCTGCCAAAAAAGAGTACAGAAATAAAACAAACCCATTGCTATTTCATGGTTACCATAGCGGTAGCTTGCTACAATCCAGGGCTGTAGAAAGGAGAGTCACATCAGCTTCAGATTTTGGAAACAAAATGGCCGTTCATTATCTGTACAGTACAGCATGTGGCTATTGTACACCAATTACTCGAGTGCATTGGGGCATATACATGTACCTGCCAGTTTTTTTCCAACATGTTTGACACTCACGTCACACTTATTTTACGTGCATTTACTCTGATTGCAATACTGTGATGGGAATGACTGCTGTATGCCCTGAATGTACTCAAGTCAAACCCAAATCTCTCAATGAGTAAGACTCAAAGACCAACTCAGGTTTTGACTGTGTGAGTCCGATAAACTTACATGTGCACTACGTGCACGTATAATACACGTGGCTCACAAACATGTCTAAAAATGCAATATGAAGATTGCAAAAGCAATTTACAAGTCACAGGTGTTTCCCATTTACTTGTGCATTCAGATCCGTAGTCTCTCATATAATTAGCAGTTGGATTGAGTTGTTCATGCCCCAGTCTGTAATTCGTATGGCCAGTCCAATCTACTCTCATTAGTTCCCTTCCTGACATAAAAATGAACTGCCAGGACTTACAGTATACAGTAAACAAGAAATGATGCGTCAGGCAAAGTTCCCAAATTTTTTAACCAGATTAAGCTTCCTGTCAAACACGATGATGGATTCTTTCTACACAGCTTTTAAATTTCAGTTTTTTCACAATTCCACAAGTTTACCTGCATAGCTTCTGGCACAGTCGCCTCGTCATTGCTTCGGTGAAGTTCACACTTTCAGGTTGATCCCTGGTCACCATGGTAACATCAAAGTAATGATCCGCATCGTGGAAACACCCAAGCAGCACCGTCTTCTCCAAGAGTGTGGTGTTGATAGCGACACAGCCAGGGCTTGCAGGATAGGCACCCTGCTCACCCTTCATTGTCTTGAATTGCTGCTGGATGGTGGAGTTAAACTCCTAGTGTGGAAAAATGGATTGGAGGAAATAATTGCTTGTTACAAAGTACATGAATTATCAATGTCCATGACTAAATCATTTATACACATAAAAACTTTGCAAGCAATGCAATTCTTCAGTTGTTAATAAAATCAAAAACAGTTCTGTCAGTTTTAGGAGTCATGCAAAATGGAATGGTTTCTGATTATAACACCATAGAAGATTTATAGCAGCACTGTGTCTCTCAAATGGTGCTGCTCAGAACCATTTGGTCTTTAAAAAGAGATATATATGTAGGTGTAACTAGCTCCCATTAAGTGTGAGCAGCCTATCACTGGTGACAAAGAGAAAGGTTTGAGTGACAATTGGAAGTGAACGGTGCCCTGCCATAGGCATGAATGTAATATGCTACAGATTCATGGGATTATTCACACAAAAGAAACTATCTGCCATGTTTTGACAAGTGTACCATTTGGTGGACAAAAGGTGCCTCCAACTTTCCTTTTGTTTGGTCAATCTCTAGAATTCTTTTACTTTGTAGAGAACACTGCTTATGTTCATTTGTATGGAGATCTGACATCCATGACTCCTACCCTTTGTTTGTGTATTACGTAGGGCTGACTATAGACATCAGGCAGCTCAGCGTAGAAGAACTTGTTACCATGGAGATCAGAGGTTAGAGATTCATTAGACAGCTTCTCAGCAGGGAAGATGATTCTACTGCCCATCTTGGTGATGTGGACTGTTTCAAATGTGAATCCATCGCCTTTGGAGAAAATGAAGGGGCACATGTTTTTTCCCCACAAAGTCTTAGCCACAGTACTGGGACTCCATTGTTGGAAAAAGTTTGGAAAAAGTTGTAGGACTGTATGTATTTCGGAATATTTTGGTTAAAAAATGACTATCATATAGCTCATGTATTTATAATCCCCACAACTACAGACCAAGTACACTGTAGATGTGACCAAGTTCTCAGGGTCGAATCACACGAAGACATTGATTTTGACTTACTTTCCATTCAGTTGTCCAGAGCAAAGTTAATTTGGATAGCCAAAAATAAAAAATAAACAGGATTTCAAACTTCAGATCATTCAAATTTAAACATAAAACTATGTCTAAAACGGGCTAAGTCCATCTTCAACATGTGTCTGTATTTGCCACTGTTGAAAACCTCATATAGGTTCATGACTTCCAGTTGGACTGAACAGATAACACTTACAATTAGAATCTACAACTTTCATACGAATAAATTTAGCCCAAGGTATTGAATTTACACTTGGATGAACAATGTCTGTTGGCTGTTCAGCAGGAAATGTAATCGTAAGAAAACAAATGAGTACATTTACCCACTGCACTAGAAACCAAGGGAAAAAAACACACTTCTGCTGTCACGGGACTTACATAATCGACGACTGGCATTTTTGAATGTAGCCCATAATTAAAGTATATTACTGACACAAACGCAAGTTGGGCATAAAAGTGCCCAAGTTGGAATATATTGGAGCATACTGTGGACACAGACACAAGTTGGGCAGAAAGTTTGAAATTAAAAGGGCAATGTCGTCTTCAGGCAAGATGCCATTTTTCTACCCACCTGTCTTTTGGGCATGAGCCTTATGCTAAAGGGTGAGATGAAAACGACATGACAAGAAGTGAAGCCTGGCGGTGAATTTGAATATCTACCTTCCGGGAGGGCTAGCAGGACCGTCAGGTTACACTTGATCTTGGGCACGACCACCTCTAGACAGAACCTGACCCGCCCCTCCTTCCGAAGGTTCACCGTCACCTGATGAGCCCACTCCGATGAGGAATACACCTTGAAATCAATGGCACTGGAGCCCCTTGGGGAGAAGGGCAGCATGTAAAAGCGAGCACTTGGGGCAGGGGTGGTCAGGTTGAAGGTGATGTTCTCCTTTAGACGGTAGAAACGAGACTCTGTGTTTAACTCAATGGGCGTGCCGTAGGGTTTAGCCGAGTAGTACCACATGGAAACCTGGCAGGATTGACAGTCGAGGAAAATTGTGACACTATCCAACATATTGAGTGTGAAGTTATCAAAGCTACTTATATCTTCTAGTCCCTTAACAAATCTGTTACGAATATTGATAGCAACTGGTGGCACTGAAATGATGAATTAAAATGTACTTGCATATGAAAAACTAGAAAGATAAAGTGTCTTCAAAAGGTGCCTTTCATTGATTGTTTGTCAAGTAAAGTATCACATTTATTTCATTTTACTGTTTCATAACTTGACATGTACATGTAATCATAATGTAGCCTTCCTCGGCTATTATGAATCATTTAACCACTATTCATAAATACATCAGACAACTAGTTTACCAATCCTTACTGGTCAAGGGCCCATCATGTGGCTGGTCTTAAACGATTGATGAAACAGCAACCAGCAACAAAAGTGGCCCTTGAACTATGATATGCAAATAACTGCACGTGTATTGCTAATTCTATACTACATGCACACTCATTCGGCACATGGGGCGAAGTCACAATTTTTAAATGTATTTATTTAACCAGAGAAGCTAAATCATTCCCCTTAAAGGGTAAGTTACATGTATGAAACTCAAGGAACTTTGGGTGAGGGAATGATTCATTTACAACAATTCAAAAACAAGTAATCAAGAAAATCTTCCTGCTCAAGCCAGAAAAAATGGTATAAAATAAGGCATGACTCAGTAGGAACTGCATCGCTGACTTGTGGGCAATGTGATGGTGACCTCAAAACAGAAATACTATTTCCCCTCAGACTAACTGAAAACATTCCAAAAAAATTTTTAATTACCCTGTTGGTCCAAGTTTTTCCAGGAAACACGTCCACGTCAGGCCGTATACGGTGGGGCACTGTAAAGCGCTCACACATCTGGGAATGATTGAATCGTTTGATGTACAGCTCAAACTCACGATCATTGAGCTGTCGGAGAGAGGGGACATTGTCAGTGTAGATGGGGATGGTGGTAGATGGGTGACTGATGAAATGAGCATCAGGGATGAGATCAGAAGAAAGCTCAGAGGAGACAACGATGAAGACATCAAAGGCATTGCCTGACAGAAAACAAAGAGAATGGCTGCATCAAGTTTGTTATACTTACTAGAGGGCATTTAGGGGGTCAACGTTGGGGGCTAAAGTGCATTGGCCCAAAGCGGAAGGCAGATTGCAAACACTGCATACATCAATTCTGTAAAGGCAGAGGGGGCCTTCTCCAATGTATGTGCACAAAGCGAAAACTGCTTTTGATAAATTGTCCCAAAATCAACATTCAGTTGATATTAAACACCTACATGTATTAGAACCAGCTTTTATGCACCATAAACCATTGCAACACCATACAAGTGCATCTCAATGCCATTCTCACTGTGCTTGCACCGGATAGCAATGTTGGAAAGATTGTTGCTTTGGGCTGAATTTGGGCGGCTTGTTCTTGTATGTTCATGAACAGCTCGATTTGTTGTTTGTGGGTCAGCCGCTCGAATGCCGGGAACGTACAACCGGTTATCGCTACTAGTTGTTTGTAGCAAGCAACATGCAACATGGCACGTCTTTGTGCATTCTACAAGAGTTAATGTTTGGATAACTGGGCTAATTTCTTTTCCATTAAAAAAATAATTTCTGTCATGGAAACGTTGATTTTGCAAAACTTTCTATTGTCTCTAGCTTTGTAAAGCCATCTCAATAGTTTTACGGCTTTTCAAAAATCAAATCTCACAAGTTTTCCGTGTATTCGTGTAAAACCCTGACGAGAAGGTGGTGTGTGAACCTGTTCCAAGAACAGTGTTCTTGTGTCGTGTTCCCACCGTTCGAGCGCGAGAACACAAAACCCGGGTCAAGAACAAACCGCGCGAACTCGACCTTAGTGAACAAGTTCCCTGGCTAGTCAACCCATTACAGATAGGACTAATAGCCCACAGTGGCAAGCTGGGATAACCTCACAGCCTACATGTACCTGTAAAGTCCACATGATGTGTAGCTGTCAGTCCGTAGTTTATGATGTCACCTGCTGTTCTACCAACTGCCGTGCACCCCCCTTCATCATTGAGTGTAAATCCAGAATAGCAATGGCATCTAGAAGAACATGAAATGGCCAGAGAAACAATGGAATAAAAGCGTTTTTATATCCTTTTGAAGTGTGTTGCATAAAAACAATGTATTCAACTCTTTCATACAATATCACAATCAAGCATCAACAAAGATGAAGTACACTTTTGAATGTACATGTAACCTGGGGTTATATATTGTGAACGTAAATCATCGTAACTTCCTTTAAAAGAAAAAGAAGGAAATAAGAAGCTGGAGTTTTTGTTGCAAAGAACAATAATTCATATATCTAACTATCTGCTTCATCAAAGTCAGTGCAACAGGTGAGTGATGGGTGCTCCTATTTACTCTCCTGTATGTCCATCTGCTCAGTTTCCCTGACTTTCCCTTTCTTTGTGTCTACAACATCCTATCTAATCTGCCTATACATGAAGTCCTACCAATGAACAATCTTTCTTATCTTTACTATTTTGGATCTGTTTACATGTGCCCTTTATCTCATTTCAATCTCTGCTCATTTATGCCTTCAGCTCATTGCAAGCTCCAAAATCATGCTTCAAATATTAACAATGGGAATCAAAAATGCACATTCTTCAAACTTAAGCATCACAGATAAATGGAGCTGCATTGAGGTAATGGGTCTCTGCTTGATGGACTAAAGTCATGATAACTGACACCCTCAGCTGAAGATTGAAACCGAAACCAAAATATGGACAACTTACATGTATCCAGCTAGCTAACTCAAATGACGCATTGCCGCCATTTTAGTTCATGCAAAGAGCCCAATATTTCCTAATATCTACATGTATAACCTACTCTGCTGTTGCACAGTCCTGCATGTCATCAGTGGCCGTTATACAAGCTGCACCTTGACTACATCCACTACCCGAGGCACAGCAGGTGTTTTCAGTACAAGTGTAACCTGCATGGTGTTTGACCTGTTCTAACTGCCATGGATGGTCAAGAAGCTGAAGAAAGCAACAAGGGAAGTATAACTACACATAAATATCCCTACATACCAGTAGCAGGTGGGCAGGAATCTTAAAGCATCCAAAAATACATGACAACTTTAAAAAATATCAAAGCATTATTGCACAAATCTATCAAAACCAACCTACTTTGAAGAAATTCATTGTAATGTAACTAAGCAAAGTATGTACACCAAATTAAAATTACTTCAAATTTAATGTCAGTGTAGAGGCACCTGCATGTAAACAAATGCTAAGCAAAAACTTGAGCTGATAATAACAACCCTACCTGACTAAACCCTGAAGCTACATGTAAATAAAAACTTAACATCTATGAGGACATTGATTTTGAGATAATGTAACAAACCAAAAATGTAACAACCAGACAATGTAACTCAAGCAAAAGTAAGGAAGACAAGACAGACTGAGTTTGTCTGGAATCCAAGCCCCCTACCTCCACCCTTAGGCTCAGCTGAGGTTCAACCATTGTCAGCACGATGCTATCATCTACCAAGAGGACAGGGGTGCGAGTGTAGTCACTGACGTAGGTTGCTGATATCCTGAAGGGTATCTCCCTGCCCTCGACCCAGTATGGCTGGTCCTTGACCCGGAAGGTAAAGTAAAGTAGGATGAAGTCTTCATTATTGGCGACATTATCTGCTTCATTTACGACAACACCTGGCATGGGAAGGAAAAGTTTCTGATGAGTGGAGTTGTAGTGGGTGTGTCCTCACACAAACAGCTATGTGACCACTTGCTTTCTTCCACGCTGGAGTAAATGATAACTTTTTGTCTGGTCTTCCATAAGTCAGCAACTTGGCTCATAACTATGCAATTCAAAATACATACATGTAGCTACATGCATAGAGTATTTCATAATACAGTAAAATCTGTAACTCAAACTCAGAGGGAACGATAAAAACGTTGAGATATGTGCATCCAAATTTCAAGCTAGCAAAGGCTCCAGAGTTTTATACAATCAAGTCATAACACAACCATACACAAGTACACTGTATGTGTACACGTGCAGGTCATGTACATGTACATGTACATTAATGTACATGTAACTGACCCCACAATGGCTATTTGAAATATCATTCTGGTTGTTTTCTCTATGAATTTTTCTAGTGGTGAATGTTTTTGTTTACAAATCATTATTTTACTTGGATTTGATGTTGTTCTTTAGAAAGTTCTGTTCTATAAACAATAAACCACTTGAACTTCTATACTTACCTGTACAATGTACCTTCATGTGGAAAATATATCATTTGGTCTTTTATGTCTGCAGCACAATGCCCCATGCATGCTTAGGATTTTTACTCAGGTTGTCCAATATTTGGTGTCATGACCTTTCCTTTTGTGGTCAAATGGCCACCGTAAAGCATCAATAACTAGCACTGCTGGTGTGCAAGATATAGAGCCTGGAGTAGCAATCGGGCTAGCTTGAAAACTGGGATTTGCTGCAGTTATGGATTGGTTTGTAACTAATTGATCTGAATAGCAGCGTGCATATAAGTGTCCCAGAGTGAAAAGACGCAGTGAATTTGACAGTAAAGGCTCATAATTGAAGTTTTGTGTTCATTTTACACTTTTTGGAAGTGTTTCAATGGTTGTTTCTAATCTGTTTTTGAGGTACATGTATGCAGATGTAGCAATGTTGGCATTTTGAGCTGTAAACATGGTAAAGGTATTTCTATGCATACACGCCTACTCTTTTGGGCAGGAATGAAGTATATCTTTGAGGTAGCAGTGATCGGGAGTTTCAACTTGATGAACTTTGGAGTTATTGAGATTTTACTGCATAAACATAAACTACCAGGCTCAACAGCTACATGTGTGACACACAACATGCTACAAATGAATTGTTACCTGGCACAACAGAAATTCCTGTATCAAGAAATCTAGCTGTATTGTACTGCTTTCCAGGATACAAGTAGCCTTCTGATGAGTCTGGATCACCCTCCATCTCAAGGTAGATGGAAGGAGTATCATTTCGGTGGTAGACCCTATCAGACAGAAGGATGCGGCCTGAGCTGGCAGTGAAATTCTGCATGGCAGCCTCCATTGAGAAGTTAACAAACTGCAAAGTGATCTCTGGGATCCACAGCTTGGCTTCCATGCGAACGTAGTCCCCAATGGAAAAGGTCTGAGGTGGCTCCCCGAACAGGCTGGTGAGGAACATGAAGGAGTTGGCCGTGGTGAAGTCCAGTTTGGCTGAGATGATTGGTGCATCGATTTTGACAGTGTCAGAGGCTATGATAGATGGATAGAGGCGACCAGGGAAGTCTACCAGGCTGCTGTCATACCAAGCAATACCTGTTGCTGTGATCAGAGAGTTGGCCACAAAGTCAATGTGATTGCCAACGGATAAATTAAAGGTCCCTTTGAAGACAGCCCCCGGTGGGTCGATGGGTAAGAGTGGCAGGTGGAAACGGCCAATGGCATTGTCATAGGACACGTCACAGAGGGTGGCTCCCCCCACACAGGAGGCCTCCTCAGAGGGAAACTGTAAGTCTGCAAAGCCAGTAGTGCGGGTGAAGTTGACGGCATCTAGCTGCAAAGTAACATTGAAGGCTGGGGCATTTGAGTCAGTAGTGTGGGTGATCTCAAAGTCAAAGATGACCGGGTCAATGCTGTCGACGATGCTGGGTTCCGGCCGGCGGGTGAAGCTGATCTGAAGCTCTGGCTCTACTATGATCACATCATGTGACTTCCTGGTGATCATCTGATCAATAATGGTAGCATTATAATCCCAGTTGTCTAGTATGAACTGAGTCTCATTGTCGGGTGGAACAAAGCAGTCACAGTCATAAATCTCAAATGCTGGTATCTCAACACATTTTGCGGGTTCAACATGATAAACAACTTTATCGATATCAGGACAGTCGCACTCCAACTCATACGTGTAGGTGCTACTAAGTAGATCAGTGAAATTCACTCCTGTATCAAAGGTGCCATTTGACGTGATGTTATTCAACCAAGTTGTGTTGCCTAGAAACAGTGAATTATTTCCATTTCCAGCAGTGGCATTTTCAAAGACGGTGGAATTGTTCGAGGCGGGAACCATCTCAAAAGAAGTGCTGTCATTCTGTAGCTGATACCACTCTAGCACCTGGGATATGTTATATGGATGCTTGTACAGCTTCTGACATTGACAGGTGCTATTGGGTAGGGGTAACGAGTGGGTGTGTGTGATGTTGGTGCATCTGCCGGCTAGCACGCCAATGCAGTCCTGCTCCACATGGACACCACACATCATCTTACAGCTGCAGTTTGATTGAGACTTAGTAGTGTTGTAGGCCCCTGTTGTGGAGTTCACCTGGGGAGAACTGTTTAGTGTGGAATGAGGTGGGTCAGTACTTGTTGCCTCCATGGGCTGACAGGAGCAATCAGTGGGATTGAATGTGAGACGGAAAGACTCCTCATCAAATCCAGTAGTGCTATTCATACATTGCTTGACAGTCACACTGCTGTCAAATAGTTCCTGCAGCTTGGCTAAAATCTCTGAAGAATTGCACGAGCACAGAGTCTTATTGATGCTCTCTACGGATGCATTCTCGCATGCACAGCTGACTTTGAGAGAGACCTCATGGTGGGTGACAGTGTACGTAAGATCATGACAGGAGTAGTTTCGCTTGTAAGGTTCCATGCACTTTTTGACGTGGCGATGAAGTGACGATTCTGGGCCATGTGATGACAGGGTACTGTTCAAATCGGTGCAGTCGCAGTTGTCAGTGTTGAATTGCTGTAGAGCAGCCACGTGCGGTGGGTTCAAGAAGTAATGCAGAATCCCCCAGCAAAAGTTGATGCAATTGCAGGACAGGGAGCCATCATAGCTGTCTCCCTCATCCACATAATAACTGGTGCAATTGCACTGTTCGTCGGTCATGTTGGCAAGGTGCCAGGTCTCACAGAAGCACTCCCTTGGTGCGGAGGGGTCGAAGTGCTCCTCCAGGGGCTTGCGACAGGTGCAGTTCTCCCGGAAGATGTCGCTAGGGGCGATGGGGTAGCTCACGTAGGAGAAGGTGGAGGTTGCATTCAAGCGGAGGACATCACCACGGTTCAGCTCTGGGAGGTCAAGGACCACCATGGTGACAGTAACCAGGACAGTGCTACCACCCTCACTCAGGTTAGCTGGGAGGTATTCTGATATGTAGTACACGCCTGTTTAAGGCAAAAGTAAAGCATTCCTTGATTATACCTGAGAACTCTTGACTTTGAAAACCAAAAATAGCTGTAAAGGAGTTTATTAACATTTCATTCACTTCATGTTATGATTTGGACAAGACAAATTTGGACACAAACTGAAAATCAGGGCATCTAAGGTGATCAGTAATTGAGTAAGTTGCACAAAAATTACTAACAGAATAAGAAGTTTTATGTATAAAAAGTATGTTCAAATTTTAAAATGTGTTTTAAAACACCAATAGACCCTGATTTGATAAAAGCACACCTTATTACATGTAGTACTTTCAGTCTGGCAATTGTCTGTTATCCCTAACCATTGTTTGTTGTTGTGTTAAGTGTGAGAGCACCTCATTGCCCTTCTAGCCAAGGGTTATAGACAACCACCTGTGATCAAATTTAGGAAGCTGTTATAAGCAAAGAATCTAATCAGCACAGAACCAATTTGTTTTACAAAAACAGGTCCCTGGGAAACATGTCTCGCAATGTGTGTTTTAATTGCTATGATTGTCAACTGATGTCTACTAGGTACAGGTTTTAGGCAATATTCTCTGTTTACCAGCTCTGTGGTACACAAGTCCCAGGGCATGTTTAGTGACCAAAAACAAGTTTGAGATGCCAAAGCAAAACCAAGAGCATGTTTAGAACCAGCAATGGTTATGTCATCCAACAGAGACAAGCCAGTAAAAGACACTGTTGTCAATTTCAATCAACATTCAGCATATTTTTTTCCCAGAGTAGCTCTCTCATTTGACATGCTAGAACAGAGTACCTCTGTTGGGATGTACAATTCACATATTTGAAAAAAGACACAACTTTTGTCTGCTTATTTTCCACCACTTTGAATGGCGCTAAACCAACTCTAACCTTTTGTTCTCTTTTGGTCAGAACAATGACATCAGACAGGCATAGCCAAAGTTACAAAAACGTCAAACAAATGACCAAAGCACAAACATGTTTCTGGCTATATTTGTGAAAACACACCACTGGATATGCTGATATATGGTTGAGGACCAACAATGGCCCAAAAACTTAAATTATTTTCTGACCTGGATTGAAAGGATTGTGATGATTCCCGCCAACAAAAGTACAGACCGCCCCTTCCCTGGATGACCAGATGTCAGTGTGAACGACAGACGCCATCCCATAATACACCTCTTCTTCCTCGTCGCAGACACTGGGCAAAGAGGGTGCTCTTGTGGTGTCATTGGCGTCTGGTAATGGAGTTGTGACCTGGACAGAGGCATTCAGGCTCCCACAGGCAAGGTAAGGGTCAGGGGTTGTGGTGACATTGGTATCATTCACGGAGTGACCTAGAAAAACGCAGATGGAAGAATCACAAAATAAAACATGAACAAAGCAGCAGAGGAGTGAGCTAAAAATGTGCAAGTTCTGTGGAAAGGCTCCAGCTCAGGAAATTAAAGGACTCAGTAATGAAGACATTAGTTTATGGCAGGATACTTCAAAATTGGACTGTAATTTAGAGCAAGAGAGAACACAGAGAAATGAACTGAAGTACAAACATCACTGCATTGAGTCCCAGCTTAGACCACATGGAGGCAAGAAAAGAGTCCAAAACTCCAACAACCTGATTTCCTAATCTTAAACAAAATGACCAGTTGAATCTGCTCCAGCTACCCAAGGTTTCAGCTAGAGGGGTGTCTGGGAATGGGGGGGGTCTTTCGTTCCATCAAATGCACAAAGAAAAACCAAAAAGCTTCAGCATAATGGTCATCAGTTAGAAAAGTTAGGCAAATTTATGACACCAAATCTTCAGATCCTGGCTTTCTGCCTTGACTTGAAGCACCCCCTCATCAACAGAGAAGCAGCGGTCACTCCAGAGGGGGTGGGGAGGCAAGTAGCCCACCCCTGAAGGAATGTTGCTTTTTTTATTGAAAGCACCAATGGTACAACAACCTGTTTGGGGAGGGGATTCCTTTGTAATGGGTAAAAAAAAAAGTCATTTTTGTGAACAAAAATTCTGTTTTGTCATTCATCCTTCTGATCCAAGTCCTGCACTCACAACTGTAAGGAAGAAACAGGGTGGTAGGACATTTTGCATCTGGGCTCATGCCTAGCACACACCCGGAGGGCCGGGGACTGTTCATTTCAGCAAAAACTGGTTGCACTTGCTCAGCATGTTGCATGCCAAGCACAATGTGTGCGCATGTGTTGTGAGTTCCCACCTGAGGACCATCACTGCCACATACATGTAGAAGCTCACCATTTCCTGTTTCAACACAGAGCAGACACTCCTGAAGGTACATGCAGCACATATACATGTACTTACCATCATTTGTGGGTTGAGGCGTAGGTATAAAAGGTGGAAGCTTGTAATAACCACAGGCACAGGTGACATTCCTGCTGTCTCTACCAGTTTCATTGTACACAGACTCTGGTAGGATGCAACGATAAAAGGTGGCTACTGCACAGAAGGCTTCTGCTAAGTCAGTGCATGAGAGTCCTGATGAGTAATCATCAGAAGCTGATGTCTGATTGGATGCTTGGCTCTGATTGGCATATGGAGGGCTTGCTGTTGTGTGATTGGCTGAGGTCTGGTTTGAATCAATCTGATTGGTCTGTGACTGCTGAGTGGGTGTGGTCCATGTCTCATTCCAGTTACCTGCTTGCGTTTGATTGGACAGAGACTCGTTAACACGATTTCCTTGATTGGGAGGTGATCTTAGGAACATGTGGCTCCAGAGATCTACGATGGAGGAGTTCATCTGACACTCTTTCAGAACTGATTGAATGCAGGAGTTGTAAAGCCAGTCATGATAGACACAAATAGTGGATGTACTGACCAAATTATAGTCAACAGTTTCATTGGCATGGGAGCAATTTCCAGTATTGTTGTAATTGCACTGAGTGCAGTTGAAAGTGGTCCCATTGCAAGAGGCATTTCTTATGGACTGATTCCTAGCATCCCCTACAAGGATTACCCTCTCCACATCCAACCCCGTGCAATTCTCTTTAGGTATTTCTGCACAGTTGCTCAGCCAATCAGGATACACTATGTGGAATGTACCATTCCCGGAGGGGAACTCAGCACAGAAACAGGCATCTGTGGCAGTGTCATTGGGAAAACAACCCTGCCTGAGGAAGGTGCCTTCAATAGGCAGCGGATGAGGTACTTCCCCCTTGAGTTTCATGACCTCCCAGGTCTTGAGAGTGACAGGGTACCGCGGCAGCTGCAGAGCAACAGAGAGATTGCTGGGGATAGGAGGGACAGGAACACGCATGGTGTAGGTGACCTGCTCATGAATGGTGACCAGGTTGTCTGGAGTCTGGAGATGAGAGGTGCCATCAAAGATTAGGGTGGCATTACGAATATTGATGACATTCTTACTGACACCAGCAAAGTGATACACACGACCCCATTGGTAGAAACTGTACATGTGGTATCTGGAAGTTGCCAAGAGAGCAGTTCCTGACAGAACAAAAGAACAGTAATGGGCATTAAACCTTCTGGTACTATTCCCTTCACACATGTGTACGCAGGCAGATTGGGCTCCAAATATATACATCCACATAGCCCAATAACTTTAGTGAAGGGTCTAGCCCTGGGTATCCAAGGTACATTTTAATGTTTCAGTTATGACATGTTACTATAAAAATGATTTTCAGTATACACATGAAATGAAAAAACTTGATAACATGGACTGATGAGGTATGCAGTACAGAGCTAGTATTTATTCAAGCAAAAAAATACAGCCCAAAATGAAGAATATAACCATCACAATTGCGAACTTGTGAAAACAGGAAAAAGAAAACTTGCAAGATATAACTAGTGAAAACTTAGGACTAGCTTTTATTCCAACCCTGCACAAAATGACAAATGCACACAGGCATGACAATAATATTGGATTCAGGTAATTTCATAGTTCCTGAATGTACATGATGATTGCTACTTTCTATACCTTCCGTCAATTTGGTAGAAATCTGAATCAAAAAGGTTCCCTCGATGAATTCTTCTAGAGGGAGCTTGTAGAGGTACAACCACAGCTTCCCATCAGCTTCATACTGCCCCAGCCCCTCAAAGATCCTCGTGGTGGGGACATGGGAGCCATTACTAGGGATGAAATCCTGGTAGACGGCCATGTAGGGCAAGTAGAGCTCAATAACCACGTGATGAGCAGGACTCTGAGAGGCCTGAGTGTGGGACAGGTGGATGCCATACTGGAAGACGTCACCTAGGATGAGAGAGAAGGTGGGTGCAAAGAGAGGGGAGCTGGTGATGAAGGACTGAAGGAAAGGAGTGGGAGGAATAGGTGTGTTTGGAAGATAGCTGATACGATGGAGTGGATACTGGTTTGTGGAGGAAACCATGGCAGGAACTAGCTGCTAAAAGTGAAGGTAATGAGATGGTAAGGGGTAGGGAGAAATAGAATAATGCACTTTAATATGTAGCAGTGAGTAGAGTTGTATATATCTGCAATGAACTTGTTCCAAGTGCAGTATTAGTTTCGGCCAAAAATACTCACTTTTTGAAATGACAAAAATACCACCACCACTAAGTCGGACTTTAGCCCTTGGTAGTTACTTCCTTAGGTCGTGTGCTACTTTTTTTTCCACATTGTAAGCAAACTTCTACTTCACTGTGAGACTCAGTCACAAATCTGCAGACATCTTTTGGTTGGCAAATACTTTCCATGCTCAGCAAAGTTTACCCCTAATTGAAATTGGCCTCTGCACAATGGACAGATGGTCTCATACCTGGGTCACCAGCGTTTGTGTCGTTGGTCATGTTCAATATCAGAATCACCTCAGGCTCCAACACACGCATTGTCTCTTGCTGTATCAAGTCCTTGCCATTGGAGTAAGAGACAGATGTTGAGAGGACGTGCTCTGTATCCCGTGACACGAGGTTCGTGGTGTTCTCCAACACCACGTTAAATTCAAGCACTAAGTTGTCTCCTGTTGGGTAACAAAATGTTCAAGGTGATTGAATCGAATAAGGCCAAACGAAAAATTAGTTGTGTTTCCTATTAAACTGAAAAATAAATCAGGGAGGTTGGTTGAGTAAAATATTTTTTTACTCTGAATTTTTATAGCCGAAAAAATTAGGGTCGGATGATGGTATATATTTTTGGGGGGGCGTGTATATTTGTAACAGGTACTAAGTCAGCGTCAGATTCATACTGTACATGTGTACGTCAATATTACATATCAGCACTGTGATTGAGCACTAAAGCAGCTGGTTGTTACAATACAAACACACAAGAGCCGTCCATCTCATGCAAAAGAATTAAAACAATAACAATATACAGGACAATGTACACAAAATTAAGCTCAAGGCAAGGCACCATAAGTTTTATATTTTATTGATTTGTCGAATAAAAAGATATAGGTTCCGCATGATTTTCTAGGTTGGTTTGGGTAACCAGAAACATAGTAATTTTTGTGTTTGGCCTAAGCGCAATTCTGATTGTCATGCATGTGATTGGTGTTTGTTGAGGATGCTGGTTTTGTAATCAAACTTTTTTGAAGGGAATGAAAAGCAATTGGAGGAAGTGATCAATAATGATCAATGCATCTCTCAAGTTAAGACTAATCTAACCATGGGTATGGGTAAGAGAAAACTAATATACTTCATTGCTAACTTGTCCATTTGATATCTACAGATTGTTAAATGTTACATACTCACCTCCACTGTCCAACTTGTTGTCAGCAAGGTTTCTCACCATGCCAAAATCCAGATTTACAGTAGTTCTTGCTGGAATGTCCCAGTCAGCTGGTGAAGATTAAAGTCAATTTGTGACTTTGTAAAGAATGTCCATCAGTGATGTGAACCATACTAGACTGGATGAGACCATCAAGCTACAGTACTACAAAGCACTATGATCTCAAACTATACTAGACTGGACGAGACCATCAAGCTACAGTCCTTCAAAGCACTAT